TTTTTTTTTTTTTTTGCATTAATATATCCCTTCCATATAGAATAATTGGTGTACTATTCAACAATTTACTTGACAAAATTTAATATGAAATAAACATAATTAAGGGTAATGATTGGTATCAATTGATGCAAACAAATGATGCACGAAAAGTAAATTGAAGAGAGAGAAATAAACGAACTATCCGCCTTTTTTCTTTCACATTTAATCAAACTTATTTCATCTATAATTTTGTAAGAATGAGATGACATTTATAATTTCTATTTTTAGGTATCAACGTGGACAACTGTTAAATCATATTTCTCAATAAAGACACAAATGTTTTCTGTAAAGACAATTACACTTTACTATGACTTTTTCGGTAATAACCTTCATCATTTAGTTTTTATATTAAATATAAGAATTTCATCCATATATTTACTTTTTACTTATCCTTACGTTAATATGTCAAAATTCATTGTACTTTTGCAGTATGCAAATATTTTGTATCGAGTTCAATACTTATTCTGTACTCTTAGATAAAAGTGAATATACCTAATTTAAATTGTTTATATTTAATGTTTACTAGGACATAGATTAAGATGATTAATAAGTAACATGTTAAATACGATAGATAAACAATTTAAATTCAAATTCAAATATAAATGCTAATAGATATAACCCATTGTTCTATTAGTATTACAGTAACTTTTTAGGAAAATTTTACCATGTTCATATTATCATATCATTTTCAAATAAAATTTAAAACTTCACGATTTTTTACAATGTGTTAGTGAAAATAAAATTATTCCAAATGTTAGTATCTGTGTACGTGTCTTCAATTTTTATTGAATTTTACTTGAAACATTTGTTTAATTAGAATTAAATTGATTGTTTCCAAACTTCCAAATGAATACTGTTGAGCTTCTTAGGCACGATTGGATATGAATCCAATCAGTTTTGACCAATTTTGTTTTGCTAAAATTATTCAAAGTGGGATAGTGGATGATTTTGAGTTTGGAATTAAATAATATCCAAAATATAATGATTAAAACTGATGTGATGTAAAAGTAGGAGAGAAATTATCGAAAATGATAGGTGATTAAAATTATGTTAGTAGATGAATAGTAAATAAAAATTGATGTGATGTATTAGAATGATTGTTTACATTTATAATAAGTAGGAGAGTTAAGTTGAGTTTTCTTTTGAGTTAGATGATTGGATATGAAATAACTCAACCGATTATAACCGATTAAGACCGGTTATAACTCATATATAATCACGCCCTTAACAATTTGTTTCCCATAATAAATATATATGTATGATTCTAACAATTTTTTACTTATGTATACTTATATTTAACTTAAAATGTATATCATAAATAATATATTTTTCTCAAATCAATTTAAAACCATGCAAATTCAATTAGAAAAATTATATAGTTTATGTGCGAAGCACGTGCACCTTACTAGTATGTCTAAAAACAACTAACTCTTCTGATCTTGTACATGATACACTTGTTTTTTTTTTTTTTTTTTTGGTGCAAAGAAGGAGACCATAGACCTTGGTGTTAGACGAGAATTCGGCGGGGATAAGAGACCCAGATGATATCATGCTCGAGCCAATCACTCAAACTAGGGGGAGGAGTAGACAACACATGAAAGCCAATCAGACAAGAAGACGCTAAGCTCGCCAAATGGTCGGCCACAAAATTTGCCTCTCTATGCACGTGTCGAAGGCTAATAGTCCACTCCCTTTGAATGATTTGACGAATGGCCTTGACTAAGGCTTCGTGCGCCCCATAAGTACTACCGGGACCAAGTATCATCTATAGCACACACTGGCTATCAAGTTCCACAACAACTTGACCAAAACCCTTAGCCCATGCAAGTTGCAGCCCCTGAAAAGACCCCAAATTTCTGGATTGATATTTTAATGATAATAATATAAAAAAATTAGAAAAAACTTATTTTGTTACTAATTTTCAATATCCTATTAAATATATTAGTGATAATCATTTGGAATCCTAATGCGCGTATATAAATGCATCTTTTCCATATCAATCTATTTTAAAAAATGTGTGATATAAATATGCTGATACATAATACTTATGCTATTGATATATTTTAGTCTTTTTCATATCAATCCATTTATTTCATAATCTCAACCTTATGCTCAATTATTTTATTATTGATATAATCTTTAATTTGATTAACATGATATAAAATATAAAATAAGATAACCATGTGATTAAAATATGGAAGTCTAAACAAATGAGATACATCAATCTAATAAAATCCAATCCAAAATATTTTCTCATTTTTCATCACACATCCACGTGAAAAAAAAAAATGCCTAAACTAATTCCTAATCAACCACACAAAATCTTAGATTTTATTTATTAAATCTATAATTTAAATAAAATTACCTACACACAATAATTAAATCGGATTGTGATATAATAGTTCAAACTTGCATTGATTTGTTACATATTATATGGGGATGTTTAGATATAATTTTTGTTATTGGGTTTTTTTGGTTGATATGGTTAATTTTGAAAAAAAGTAGTATATTAGTAGATAACATGATTTTGAGTTTATATTAGAATAATATGTAAAATAAAATAATTAAAGTTG